TCTCTGTCTCTTAATCCATAGATTTCCATCTTCTTAAAAGAAAATCTTTGTTTCACGGTTTGCTAAAACCTCACAAAAGAACTTCAAGGCCCTGAATTATTTTAGTTACTAATAAAAACAAGGTTTTACCCCAAACTGTGTTTGCCTTCAGAATACCATTAGCTTTCCCTCAACAGCTGAGTACTCTAATTCAAGTAACTTCTGTTAAAATAAAAATTATAGGAGGCCATTGCTGAGAATTAGGCTCTTGTGCTGGGTCTCATCACAAAAGGCTAAACATCAAAATGTGATCATTCACACTAAAGTTCCACATTACCAAGCTGAAACTAAGCTTTTATCTGACCTTCTGAGAACTCAGCATTAGAGAGAGCATCCAAATTTTCCCAGCAAGTCTATTTCAATCACCATGGTAATATAGTCTCTGTGCTTCACCATTAGGGAACAAAGGTAACAGGAAGTAACCTGAGGTTAACCACAGTTATTTTTCTCTTGTTCTGTCTCCCTGTCCCCACCTCACAAGGAAAATAACTTTGAAACACCAATACACCTTTTGGGTATTTGTTTCTGCATCCTTCAGTCCTTTTCTGTATATATGCTTGCTAAAACTTAGAACCTCTGTTTGATTCTTTAGGACAGGTACTCTATTCTATAGAGTGAAGTGTTGACTGATTCTAGAATCAAAAATAAAACCTATTAAGATCTTTACATTCTTACTGTTTTATCCTTTGGCAGTCAGCATTGCAAATTAATCAGCTTAACTGATAATTAAAGTTACTGCTTATAGGTAGAACTCCTGTACTCGGGAGGTTTGTGCCTAGTGGCAGTGGTTGTGTTGCTTTCTGATAAAGGCAGGTAGTTGGTGGCCATGGCCTTGAGCTGGCATGAACCACACTCCCAGTGAGGGGGGAGAGCTGGGCCAAAACATGGTCAATACAATGGTAGCAGGTGGACCGACCATTGCTGCTGCAGGATTTATAGGTCGTTATGTTTTAAAATCCATGAAGCATATGGAGCCTCAAGTAACACAAATTTTTCAGAGCCTTCCAAAATCTGCCTTCACTGGTGGCTATTATAGAGGTGGGTTTGAACCCAAAATGACAAAATGGGAACCAGCATTAATATTAGGTGTAAGGCCTACTGCCAATAAAGGAAAAATAAGAGATGCTCATCGATGAATTATGCTCTTAAATCATTGAGACAAAGGAGGATCACCTTATATAGCAGCCAAACTCAAGGAAGCCAAAGATTTACTACAAGGTCAAGCTAAAAAATGAAGTGAATGTATGATGAATTTTAAGTCAATACTAGCTTATGTATATGAGTACTAACTTTTTATAATAAAACACCTCTGAGCTACAGTTTTTTAAAAATGATTTAGTACAGCTCTTCAAAGCCTTGGTTTAATTTTCTTGTTTGAGTATTTTAAAATCAGACTACATGTTATTATTTGGATTAATATTTAATAATAGATATACACCATTTAAATGGAAACATTGTTCATTTCTACTCACTTAGCAAGTAATCTGTATCTGTGTGCTCATCAAGGCAAAGTCCTTGTTCTGGAGGAGCCCCCTCATCTAGTGAGAGACAAATCTGTAACTAAAATATGTGATAAATATGATGGAATTAGCATAAAATGTTTAGTTTAGAATGTTATCTTTGGGAAGAAAAGTTGCTCAACTACAACTGGCCCAGCTCCTTGGAACTTTGTAACTAAAAATCAGTTTACCCACTTAAGAAATTACCTAGGTAAGTCACTGACCATTCTGATTTGCTAAATTAAAAGCTATTTTAAAAGTTACTGCTTAAGGCCATGAGTTTCAAATCTTTCCCTCACTAAACTTTCATTAAAATTTCTCAAAATTCACTGGCTTAATAGTTTTGGTTCTTCTTCTTTCATTCCTGGGTAATCAACCCACGGATCTGTTAGTGAGCAGGGAAAGGTTACAAAATTAGCAACAGGGAGAAGATGAAAAACTAAGAGTTGCTGTGACCCAGCAATCAAGATGCTAATCCCTGAATAAGACACAATTGACTCTGCCGGCCAGAAAGAGAATCAGAAAATGTGGGGTTACAGGATGCAAAAACGAAAGCTGACAAGAAGAAAAGAGTTAAATTTCAAATATAATTGTTAATATATAAGAAAACAATCAAATGAAAAGGATAAAGGAACAATCAGAACCCCCAGAAAATACATTCAACTATGACTGGGAAAGACAAAGAGACCACGAAGAGGAAAACACATAGAAATCTACCTTCACTGCACTGTGCATAACCAAAGAATAGTATTAATGAATCTCCCATTACCATTAAATTAAACACAAACTGCTTTTGTTTCTAATTAACATAGGCTTGGGCCAAATGTAATGGTGCGATTGTTTCTTAATGCTTTTCATATGCCCTAGAAATATTATAACCAGAATGAAAGATTATTAATTGTTTTCAATAGCTTCCTCTAAAGTATAAACCAAACCTTATGGAAGGTATATGTGAAAGTCATTTGAATTCCAAATACATTTACAAGGATCAGCTCTATTGCAGTATATAGCAAATGAATCGATAATGAGAAAATATTACAGACCAATTGTTTCCAAATTATGCTGTTAGATTAACTCCATTTCTCTTTGAAAATGTGTCTTGTTATTTTTAGCATGGCATGAGAAACCCTTGACTTTTCAGATATTAAATTACATTGCCAGTTGTTATAGTTGCTCTCCTTCATGCTTTTTACACATCAGCCTAGCCACACCAGACTTAAACTCTCCTTCCTAGTAAACTGATAGCATCCTTCAAAGCTCAGATTGAATATCACCTGCTCTGATAAATTTTTGACAGCTTCCATGTGGAATAAACCCTCCTGTGCTCCCACCACCGTGACCAGCTATCTAGTTTTTCATCTGTGGCTTTCAGCAAGAATCTTTCTCTTCTGATGTCTGAACTCACCAGCTTAAGAGTATGGCCACACTGCCTCTACATGGGAATTGTACACTGAAGTAACAGAAACCTATAGGAGCAACTTTAACTCAAAGAGCAACTTAAATTCCAACTTAAATTCAAAACCTATGGAAGTCAACTTAAATTCAAATTCACAGTCATTACTGCATGTACTTCCTGGAGATTCTGATTGTCCCTCTCTGTTTTTCTTTTTTTTTTTTTTAATTGATTATTTTATATATAGTCATGATTATATTTGAAATTTAATTATTTTCTTTTTGTCAGCTTTTGTTTGTTTTTGCAACTTACAACTACACATCCTCTCATTCTCTTTCTGGAGAGAGCATATTATTATAAGCCTACATAAGAATCTCATGGAATCTAAGCCAGGCCTCCGAGAAAGACCAATATAAGAAAGGGAAAGTTACTTGGAGTCCAAAGGTCATGCTCCCTTATCCCATCACCAATTCTTCCTAACATCGGCTTTACTTTTCACTCATTGAAGACTGGCTTTTTCTTTACCCACTTATAGAGCAAATGGACAGGACAGTGATGGAAGGACAGCTGCACCACAGTTTTTATGCTTGGAGTGTAGGAGTCCAGCCATACAACAAGAATCCTTTATTGTCTTCACTTATATCCCAATTCCAAATTTCAGGGAAGGAATCATAGTGCACAGTTTAATTCAGGTGTCTGTAGTTGGTCAATTTGATAAGTTCAGGTGTCCAAGTATATGTGATTCAAACACAATCAGTGGGACACCAGGAAGGTGATGAAAAAGGAGAAACAAGGGATGAGTAGATGGCACAAAAAGTAACTGCCTCCTACACAGGCATTTAGTTGAATAAAAGACAGAGAAAGAAAGAAGGGGAAAAATAGAAAGGGAAGGTGAGAAGGGATGGACATTCAGATAAACTTTGGAGAGCTTCACCATGGCAATCAGAGCTAAACCAGAAAATAAGGAACTCAGTGTCTTACTGGGGATGCTCATGACATGCAGTAGCAGTGGCATCATTGGATGCACCTAACTGTATGTCTGTCCTCCTGTAGGTAGCCACTGATGCGGGCTTTCCTATTTGAGAATATATATGCTAATCAACAGCAGGGATTTTCAGCCTAGGAAGAATCAAAAGCAGACAAAGACGTCACTAAAAAGCCCCAAAACAAAAATCTATACCTGTCAGTGGCCTTTGGGCATCAAGCCCCACTGGTAGGTAAAACAGAAACCCGTATCTACTCTCACTCATATACAAATGTGTGTTCATGGAAGACAATTCATGGCCCTTTGGACAGCAGACTGTCAATAAGATTAAAGACTTGGTATGGTCTAGGTTTCCCAAAGTACAGTTCACATCAGAATCCCAACCAAGAAATCTGCATATTTAACAAAGCTCCTGAGAGCCTCTCATGCATAGCAGCACTGTGTACTAGTGTAATAGGCAATCTCTAAAATGACCTCCACTGACCCCAAGCCACACCTTTTTGTAGCTCCCTCATACATAATTCTAGGTTTGGTCTGTATGACCAACAGCATATTGCAGAAATGACAATAAGTTATAGGTTATAAAAATATTGTGGCTTCTGTCTTAAGGAGCCTCTCTTTCTCTGTTTCTCTTTTCTTAGCTCACTTCCACCGTTAGGAGGCACGTGCTGAACAACCCTATGGAAAAAACCATGTGGCCAGCAAGTAAAGCCTGCTAACAGCCACATGAGTGATCTTAGGAGCAGATCCCACCACTCCTTCAGAAATTGCAGCAGTAGTTCACAGCTTAACTGCAACATCCTAAGAGGCTTTTGGAATCAGAAGCACTGCCCTAACCATTCCCAGATTCCTGAGCCTGAGAAAACTTTGGAGACAATAAATATTCATGGTTTCAAGTTACTATGTTTTGGGGTAATTCATTACATACAAATATGTAAGTAATATAGGTAACCAGTTAAAAGATGGCCCCTTCCTGTCTTTGCATACTGCTGTCCACATCAACAGATAGAATGTATTTCTCCTTCTTCTAAGTCTAGGCTGGCTCTTTGATTGGTTTGAGCACTAGAATGCAGCAGAAGGGACATTCTGGAACTTCTGAGCCCAGGTCTCAAGAGAACTGGCAGTTTAGACTCCCTTTTGGAACCTAGACAATGGTATAAGCAACTACTGCCACATGGAGAAAATACATGGAAGAGGGATGAAGTCCCCACCAATGGCTAGCTAGTAGTAACTTCTGCCATGTGAGTGAGCCCTCGTGGATGTCTCCTCCAGGTGAGCCCCCAGGTGGCTGCAGTCCACTGCTAATACCACGTGAAGCAAAATTGTCCAGTTAACCCAAAGAATGGCATAAAATAATAAATGTTTGTTATTTAAGTCACTAAATTTGGGGGCAGTTCTTAGGTAGCAATAGAAACCAAATCCTACTATCTTAAGCTAGTGAATTTATTCTCTGACTGGATTTTTGTGGTACCAGGGACTGGAAGTCAGGACTTTCTCACTCATCAACATGCCTGGCACCCTCTCCCTTTATATTTTTAGTCAGAGTCTCACTAAGTTGCTAAATTGTCCAGGCTGGGCTGGAACTTGTGATCCTCCGGCCTCAGCCTCCCAGAGTGCTGGCTTTGCAAGTGTGCACCACCCCACCTAGCTAATGACTGGATTCTGAGTATCTACAAGTGCAGTGTAGATTCCTGTCCAAGGAACCTTTCCATGCAAAGAACTCACAGCATGTAAGATAGTCTTGTAACTTGCCTTTCCTTTGCATCCACTGTGATGCTGGTTATTATTAGAGACCGAGGCCTTTTGACATTGGCTCCCGCAATTTTATTCTTGCTTCCAATAATAACAAAAATGACCAACATTTACTAAGCTCTACTAAGCATTACGCACTGTCACATAAACAACAGTGTAAGTGGAGCATGTCGGCACATATCTATAATCCCAGCACTCAGAGGCCAAGGCAAGAGAATCATAAATTTGCGGCTAGCCTGAGTTATATAGCTAGTCCTAGGCCACTCTGTTCTACAGAGCAAGACCTGTCTCAGAAAACATAAAAAGAAAAAGAACAACATTTTACCACGTTAATTTAAGTTAAAGTTATTATAGCAACTCCAAGAACTAGGGTCCTGAAGAGATCAAGAGCTTGACCAAGCTCACACAGAGCTGATAGGAAGGGAGCCAGGAGAGCTGGTCTTACTCAATCCAAGTTCACATTCATGCCCTTAACCATTACTTCACACCAGCCATCAGGCAGATGCCATTATTACTTCCATCTTAGAGTCAAAGAACCTGAGGCTTAAGGACCATGAGTGCCTAACACAAAGCTCACAAGCTCAAAGAAAGAGAAGGAAAACTTTCTCGAATACCTATATCATAAACACAATCCTATTATGCATCCTCAGTTTTGGAGAATATGCAAATTACAGCAGGGCCTCTCAACTCATGTTATCTGGACAAAAGAGTCAGAGAATCACACAGTTGTGGTTATCAGCTCAGCAGCTCCTTAGTCCTCTTTGCCTTTTCTTAAAGATCATCAGAAATTAGAAACCTCTCTTGATTTCTTTGCAAATAGCTGGCCCATTTTCAGGAACTGGAAGAAACCCATCATATTTAGATGTTTGAAGGAGGGGGGAAGTCAGAAAATTCACAGCTCTAAGAGAAGTATTTCTTCTCTATCTGTTCCACTCCTCAAACCAATTAATAGAAAACCTATTTGCTCTCTCCTCATTTTAACTGTGAACATCTCTTCCATTAAGAAAATATACTCTTCATATTCATGCCATTCAATAAGAAAATAAAAAAGCACATTTTCCAATACACTGTTATATTTGATTTTCACAAGTATACCATTTACTGCTAAAAGAAACGTGTGAAAAGGCATGATGACTTATTGAGAATTTAGTGTAGTGGGATAATCTACTGATCTATTTTTCTGTGTCTATTTTTTCTTGTATATCAGGGAGGAAAGAATGATATTTGTCCTCTCCCTGATGGACTTTGTTCCAGGACCAGAAAAGAAAGCCACCAAACTGGGTAGGGGGGAGTACTAGGATTACTGTACATCCCCAAATTATTCTTGGTTATTCTGCAGGAATTGTCCTGGCAGTCAGACCTTTTGGGCTATAGAGCCATAAATACTTAGCTGGCTGCCCAGAGAAATTTGGGCAAAACATTCTAGGGAAAACTACTTTGCAACCAGCTAGGTTGTTCCAAGGTAGTGCTTTGGTCCTGTAATATGGGGCACAGATTCCTCGGGGCTGGGGTCAGGGACCTGGAGGAAAGCAGGTGTCTCTTCATCCTGAGGAGATATTCCAGTACAGAAGCTGAGTCCCAGTGCTACAGCCTCAGAAGCCTTAGCAGCCATCCCACAATAAGTCCTGGCACCAAGATGACCATCTTGCTTTGAGTGCCAGAAACTTTTACCATTTTCCTGAACTGTGGGATCTCAAATCAAACCGGGGAAGGAAAGAGAGCTTCACTTCCATGACCATGTGTACATACAAATGACTGACATTGTTGGCCTTATCAACCTTGGTAAGTGAGGACTTGAGAGGGGTATTTTTTCCAGTACTGGGGATTAAACCCAGGGGGCCACTGAACTACATCTTCAGCCCTTTTTCATACTGTTTTGTTTTGTTTAAAGATAGGGTCTCCCTGTGTAGTTCAGGCTGGTCTTAAAATCAACTATGTAGCCCAGGCTGGCCTTCAACTCATGGTGATACTCCTGCTTCAGCTCAGGAGTGCTAGGATTACAGTCTTTTTCTTCTTTTTTTAAAATTTTGAGACAGGGTCTCACTAAGTTGCTCAGGCTAGGCTCAAACTTGTGATCCTCCTGCCTCAGACTCCCAAATTGCTGGAATTACAGGTGTGTACCACCATATATTCTAATATTTTTAGAATAATGTGAAACATACTATAAAAACATGGCATCAAATAAATCTTACCTTTTGTAAAATATATTTTCCACCATTACACAGAAAAAAATGTCCTAAGTTACTTAACCATCAGTTTTATATATAATAACCTTTATTCCTTTGTAGAAGGAAAACTGTCCCTCTACCTTCTGAGGATTCTATAATTGAGTCTATGAAATAAACTAAGAGTAGACAGATTAACAGAAGAAAAGTTACATAAATTTATTATTCGCACTACATGAAAAAAAAGTGAATACCCAAAAAGCCAGTGAAATCTAGAAGCTGACTCTAATTAAAGGAGAGGGGAAAGGGAAATGTAGGCAGTTTAGGGGAATGTTATAGTTTAGATCATAAACTATTAGAAGGTGCTATTGGAAGGTGGCACAACATTTAGGATGTGGGGTTTAGTGGAAGAAAGTTAGGTCATTGAGGACATGCCCCTGAAGGCGGTGTTGGGACCCTGGTCTCTCCCTCTCCCCCTTCACTTTCCTCTCCTCTCCCTCTTCTCCCTGGCTCCCCACCAAGATGTAGTGCCTCACCACAGGCCCAAAGAAACAGTGCCAAGCAACCATGGACTGAAACTTTCACACCTGTGGACCAAAATAAATCTTTTCCTTTTAGTTGTTTTACCTCAGGGACTGTTTCACTGTGACAGAAAGCTAGCACAAGGAGAATTAATTATTTCTGGGAAAGATGAATGACTTCTCAGAAGAGAAGGTGATAGATATAGCCCCTGACAAGTCTGTCTGATACTGACCTCTGGTCTACAGAGCACTGACCTCAATCTCCTGCCCACTGTCTCCCCATGAGAGGAGTTAATCTTCCCTGCTAGATGCGATTCCCGGGAAAGTGACTGATGACAACTGAGTTCTTTGGATACATAAGGGGAGGTCAGAGAAAGCCCTGTCCTGTATTTACTGTTCCCCAAGTGCCCTAAGCTTGAAGTCAAAGTACATAGCATGTTTGGACGTGGAATTTTCTGAACTCCTTCACCCTTTCCCTCCTCTTGTTTCATTCACATTTTTCCTTCTTCATACATTGCACTTCAGGCAGATAATCTTGTTTCTTCAACAACCTTGCTTATTTTAACTTCTCTGGTTTTCTACACAGTTATTTCTGTCACACAGCATTTTCCCTCCCTCAGGTCCACACATATTGCCTATGGCTGTTTTTGAGCTACAATGGCGTGTTTGAGTCTTTGCAACACGAACTTGCAATGCTTCACCTGTTTCCTGCCTGAGCTTTTTCAGTCCACCAGTCCTAGCCTTACAAGAATAGACAGACAGCCAGACAGACAGACAGATATAGAGACATAGAGATACAGATACAGATATTATACTATATATTATAAACCCTTACTTTATCTACCTTTGGATGATGGTTTAATATAAGGGAATGCAAAGTGTTCCAGGAGTACTATTAGATTTTTAGAAGTCCTATTTACATGGTTTTTACCTGCCATCTTAGTTGAGGCTTCATATTGCAAATAACAAACAACTATTCACAAGCAAAAAAAAAAATTATAAAACAATGTGACACTCTATCAGTTAGAATTAAATCAGATAACAGAAACACTATCAGTAAAATGGAATAAGAAGTTTATTAGATTTATTATAGAAATTATACTTAATATGACTGTGGGCAGAGTTAAGCAAGTAAAGGTCTTAAAGGGGCAACTGAAAGATCCAGAGAAAGTCACTACAAAGCCTCCTGAAGCCTGCGGTGGGGAAAGAAACCAGAACAGAGTGGGGAAGCAATGGGTGTGCAGAAAATACTGTGTCTGGTAACGTCTACATTGCTACTGTCAGCTACACCTGCTCCCCTTAGAAAAATTCCTACTTAGAGCCACTCAAAGATGAGAAACCCCGAAAATGACCTGGGAAAAAAGCTCTTTGAACATAGTTTTAATTCCTACAACATTTTTTATTTGGTTTGTGAGCTATTGGAATTATAATTTTTAACTGCCTTCTAAAAATGGAGAATTAACATGCTGGTGTCTGGTCTCAACTGAACAAGCTAAATATTTCAGTTGCTCTTGGGTCAACAGGCTTATAGTCCATCTCTCCCTTTGTCTCATGCACACACACATGCACACACACACACAAGACACAAATTTCTTGCCACATCAAATTCTTAACTTGATTCAACAGATTATGCTTAGTACCTAAGATTAATGCTACTCTATTACAGATGTGTTTTCCTAGCAATAAATTTTTAGTTCTTTATGATTCCACTTTAAAAAAAAAAAGATGAGAAACCCCTCATCTTTTCCCTTTACATAAGAAGTGACAGTGATGCTCTGGTTTTACTTATTTACAGGAGTTCTTGTCTCGTCAGAATAAGGGTTCAAGTCTGAACTTTATTGATTTTGGCCAAAAGCTCTTTCAAAACTTCCAGAACAATGACTAGGTGAATGATGGTTTTAAAACATGTCTGTGGGTTTGCTAATATTTTTCCTACAAAATATGGAGTCTCCTTGATTATGAACTGGCTTCAGTGACTTCAGACACATAGAACAAATACATGTTGTCAAGTCTTAACATGAGTTATAAGGTACTCTGTTACATAAGCCATAGTAACTGAAGCAGGATGCCAATAAAGGCCAGAGTTCTAGCTCAGAACAGTTAGATGGAGCTGCCAAAAATAAAACTGCATATATACAAATACTGTCGTGCCCCATTCATGAACTTAACTCATTCCACGATTCTGGATAAGATGGCCACGTTCATTTCATGTTCGCGAGGGAAAGATGGTCACAGTCGTATTTGTCACCTGATATAAAGTGTTTTCAGTAAACAAAAATAAAGTTTTGTCAAGCGCTTCTGTTCTGGAACCAAACTGTCCTCAAACAAAAGCATTCATGAGCAGAGGTACCACTGATAGCACTGTGGAGTTCTATTCCTGTGTGTCATTCATTTAGCCATCCAACAAATATTTATGAAGCGCCTCTTTTGTGTGCTGAGGATTCAGTGGCAAAGACAAGACAAAAATGATCTCTGCCTTGATGAAGCTCACAGGCTGCTTACTGTGGGTTAAAGAGACATTGAAGGAGTAATTTATGAGTGTTACAAAAGGAGAAGCCCCAGGACTCTTTGAACCCTTGTCAGATAAGAAGTCACATGTCTGTTCTGGAAATTTCTTAAAGACACATTCCCCTTAATTACGAAGTGTCATTTGGTTTCTTGCGATGTTCCAGATACACAGAGCAAAAGAAAAGATATCAATTTACAATTTCAGCAAATGCCAGTGTGCTCAGTTATACCAGTATATGGTGGCTGCTTTCATCTGTGACAGGCAGCTGTCCTTTCTCTGCATCAAACACACATAGGCAAGATGCTAATTGTATGCTTTCTCTTGCACCTACTTTGAAATTATTTATAATGATAAATTATAAGGCCATGTTGTCTGAGAAATGCTGCTGTGCAGAGTAGCCTTAGTTTGGTTGCAAATCGAAATTACTCACAAGATCTATATTAGATCCATAAAGCTTTCTCTTCAGGCTGCTAATGAAGTTTGCTAACCATTCTCCTGCATAACGGAGAATTATGAAAAGTGATTCAGTCTAATTATCAAAGGGTCAGGTTTTTTCCACTGTTCTCAAAATGTAGCCATTGAAGCGGCTTGAAAACTCATTGCCTGGAATTTAAATTACCTATTGCCAAGGTTGAATGACTGCTCCAAGAGGGAACGAAAGTGCTTAAAATCTCCGGACTGTTTGATTACAGGTATCTGTCCACCATTTGCTTAGTCAAGTACAACTGTGCAATTATAACAAATGGTAGCAAATAAAAGGCTGACTGAGGTAAATTTGGCCTCCAGGCTTGGAGGAAAAAACAATAAACAAGTAAGACACAGCCCCCCATATGATACACTCCTGGAGGTCACAGTCCGGAGGGGTAAAGGAAAGGAACTGGGCACCAGCAAAAACAGTGAATGAGAACTGTGTGGCAGGGAACTGCCAGAGTGGGTATCAAGGAAAACTAACTCAGATTGAGCTTTAAGCTAAAGGTTGAGTACACAGCAAAGATGAGGAGTCATAGCAGGAAAGTTTGACTTAGAAGAGGGCTATATGTAGTAAGCATACTTGTGCAAGCACCATTAATTATAACTTTAAACAGAACAAAGACATTCTTTAGAGAGGTATGATTATTTTATTTCTGGGTATGAAAATCCCACCAATCTGATGAGGCCTTTGTTTGTTCAGCCTCTGGTGCCCTGGCCTTGGCCACTGTGTCCTTCACTGAAATCTTCCCAACTTCCTCTGTGGCTTGGCCCTTCCCTGGCTGCCTGTCCTGTCTGTGCACCTCCCTTTGCGAGAATGCTTCCCACATCCCACTCCCTCCTGGGCCAGTGTTCCCCTGAAAAATCCTCTCAGAGTCCTGCTCATTCACAACATCATGTTTTATAGAAACTGTTTAGATTACAGTTGGGTGCCTCTTGTTGGGTTAGGAAAATGACACCCAAACCTTAGAAAATGGGACCTAAGGCCAACCACACCAGCACAGAGGACTCATGGTTCACTCTCTCCAGGTCTCTTGTTATCTCCTTGCTTCAATATTAACCTATGCAAGATTGGTATTCACATGGTGCCAAAACACTGTATAGGCTAATAGATGAAACACAGCCAGATTGGAGGGGCTATCCACAGACCCTACAACCAGAATGTGGAGTGAATTTTCTACTCACTTATCAGTTCATTTGGGCAAAAAGCTGTAGACACAGCTTCAAACAGACTATTCTCAGAGTGAATGAGTTAGCTTTTATCCCAAAGCAACAACTAGGAACCAATTGTAGCCATTCTCTTCAATAGGGCTTGGTTTTGGTACTAATCTGTTAATTAAGAGTCCAATTGTGAGGAAGGTTAGCAGCCCCAGATAAACTACACCCATGAGGTTTACCAGTCTTCTGTCAGTACCTCTGGGCTGCCTTAACTGCTTCTGTAGGATTGTTTCACACTGAGAGTGCCTTCACTTTCAGTAGCCTAGCTTTCTCAGCTTCCAGTGTGGAAAACCAGGAACAACACAGACAACCTAAGTCACCCTACTAAGTCTGTTCCCACATTACCTTACTCAGTCTTCACAACCACCTTGTAAGAGAGGCATTATTAAGAGAGGCATAATTATTACAAAATTTTGCTCAAATCAGTGGAATGGAAGCTAGAACCCAAATCTCTCTTACTCAAAGTCTACTACATTTCTACTACATCACACACTAACCCATAGCCAAGCAATCAGCCTTCAGATCTAGCCAGTATTTGCCTTCATTATTATGCTGTTCTACCTATATCCTCCTTGCCTTTTAGTAGCCATTTTATGCTCTATGGGAGTCTAGGTTCCCTCTCCTACATACCTGTTAAAAAAGAAAACATTTGGTAAAACCAACTTTCATGCCATCTACGGCTAGAATTTGTGGTGTGTTAACTCTGTCCCTGGCCCTTTGTTAAGTATCTCACACACATTATAACATATGAAATCTTTTTCTCAGATAATTGACAATGCTTAGGTCTGAGACGATAATAGCAAAATCCAAGCCTGAATTCATGAGACTTGAGTTCCAGGCCTTTCTACTCTGCCACATTGCCTTTGGGGTCACAACTTAACAACTCCATCTTTGCTACCATAATGAATGCAAGTAAGTGGAGTACAATACTGACTTTGTCACATAAACAAAGCAGGCCAGGAAGGAAGTAAAGATGGCAAAGAAAAAAGAAAGACAAGGTACCCTGAGCCAAGGGAAGAGAGGTCTTTTCTACAAACAAAGCTCTCTTATATTTTGCATTCAAAGAATTTCTTTATAGCAGCAAAAACTTCATGAAATAAATTTGTGTTGGAAAGCATAAGAATGCATCAACATTTCTTCTGTTTTCTATGCCTAGGGTTGAAGGAGACTGAGAGAAATTGTTCCTTCCAGGGTGAAGTAACCTGTTCCTAAGAGATCCACAAGGAAGGATGGATCCAAAGTCTGTATTCACAGCACCCAAAGGTCCTCTTGCTCTTCGACACCATTAAACATGTTAGAAAACTTAGAAGATTCTTAAGATACTGATCACAATGGGTTTGCTACTTTTTTTTCTTTTAATAAGTCTAGAATAAAAATCCTTCAGTGACGACAGCCTTTCCCTGGATTGTTTCATGTTCTTATCTCCTGTCTCATGATCTCCAGGCAGAGGGTGTGGACTCTTGAGTAGCACTCTGCAAAGTCTGGAGCAGTATAGTGTGCAAGGACAGAAGAGGTTTTTGTGGAGATTCAGGTTGGGGCAGTAGAATATTCAAGCTGAGTCATGATTTCTTGTTTTTTGATTATTTTTTTCCTTATCCAGTAAAATCATCCACGAGATAGCTGGCATCGTTCTGCTGACCAAAAACCTGATGGCTTGAAAGGAGAGAGTCTAAACTCTTAATTTTTAGCTTTGGGAAAAGAATCTTTTTTCTCTAAAATTAAGCTGAAAAGCAAATAACATCACCCAACTAGTGGTACTCAACCTTGAAAGAAATTAACTAGGATAAATTGGTGTGGCAGAGATATTATAGTCTTTGTCTCTTTTTTTGTCTCATTCTTTATTGCTTTCTCTTTTTTATATTAATTTTATTGGTACATTTAAGGTATACAATATAATGACATTCATCACTGGAAATTTGCACCTTTACATAATCTCTCTTGGTTCTTATTTTTTCCCCATTCCCCTGCCCTCCCTTCAACT